AACCTCATTAAAAATAAAAGAACAGCTAAGGGTATTTTGAAGCAGACTGACCAGTTTAAAAAGTTCTGGAAATAAAATTAAATCTGTGGTGACCACAGACACACATGGGTATTGCTAAGGCAGCCCCAGCTTCGGAACACCATAACGTCAGGGAAAGATGGTAGTGAGCTTTAAAGGTTAGTAGTTATTGAGCAGTTTCCATTGTGCGTCCTGAGTTACTGCAACATGATACAGCCAGACTTCAGTGTAACACTGTTCAAACCTGACTGAGGATTGTTTACAATACCCTGGGCAATTTGAAACTTTGTGATTTCAACACTGGCATCAATTAACTAGAATGTTTTGGGTAATGTAATCGCAGTGATTTAGCACTTCATGAGAACGGTTCTAGCATATAAACAGACTACCACTGACCCCTTTTTAGCTCACACGTAACTGAAATAATGAACTGCATGCAGTCTTGGTATCACTCTATATTAAAAATTACAAAGCAGGTTTTTAGAGTTGAAATAAAACTTTACTTTCATCATCTCATCAACTCACTTTGTTCTATTAGTCTACACTCATTGCCATTCCGCCTAGTCCAGGTTCTGGTAAGCCTTACTCATTGGTCTTACCCTTGCCTTGAGTAGCCTTTTTAAATCACTGCCTGTTTGTACTTTTCAGTTGATTTTTTAAATTTTTTAATTACAGTTGACATCTGATATATTAGTTCCACGTGGGCAACATAGTGGTTGGATCCCCCACATAAGTCTTGCACCCACCTGACACCATGTATAGTTATTACAATATTATTGATTATATCCCCTATGCTGTTCTTAACATCCCTGTGACTATTTTGTAATTGTCAATTTGTATTTCTTAATCCCTTTACCTTTTTCACCCAGCTCCCAAATGCCCCACCCATCTGGCAACTATCAGCTTATTCTCTGTATCTTTGAGTTTATTTTTGTATATTTTGTTTTTTAGATTCCACATATAAGTGAAAGCATACAGTATTTGTCTTTCTCTCTCTGACTTATTTCCCTTAACCAATACCCTCTAGGTCCATCCCTGTTGTCATAAATAGAAAGACTTCATTCTTTTTCATGGCTGAGTAATATCCATATACCATACCTTTATCCATTTGTCTTTTGATTGAAGCATTTAATCCATTTACATTTAAAGAAGTTACTGCCATTTTACTGTTTTGATTGTTATTGTAGTTCTTCTTTACTCCTTTCTTACTCTCTTACTCTCCTCTTTTGCATGTTGATGACTTTTTGTAGTATTGTTTGTATTCCTTCCCCTTTATTTCTTGTAGATGTTTGCTTTGTGGTTACAATGTGATTCATATGTACCATACTATGGTTATAGCAGTCTATTTTAAGTTGATGGCTGCTTACTTTCAAACACATTCCATAATCACTACCATTTTTACTTACCCCTCCACATTTATGTTTTTGTCATTATTTTTGTGCTTCTTTTGTTTATATGTTTATGTTTATTCTTTAATTTATTATTGTAGTTACACATGATCTTCCTACATGTTTTGCCTTTTAACCTTTGTACTAGCTTTAGTGTTGGTTGATAAAGTGCTTTTATTAAGTGTTTGTCTTTGTCAGTGAGAATTTTTTTCTTTGTGATATTTTCTTATTCATATTTTTTATTTATTTTTCCTTCTTAAAAGAACCAGTCAGAAATGGAGAATACAATAACTGAAATGAAGAATACATTAGATGGAATCAACAGCAGATTAGAAGACGCAGAGGATCAAACCAGCAATTTGGAAGACAAGGCAGCAAAAAACACCCAAAAAGAACAGCAAAAAGAATCCAAAAAATGAGGACAGTTTAAGTGATCTCTGGGACAACATCAAGTGTTAACAACTTAGAATCAAAGGGGTACCAGAAGGAGAGGAGGGACAGCAAGGGATTGAATACCTATTTTTAAAAATGATGGAAAACTTCCCTAACTTAGTGAAGGAAATAGGCACACAAGTCCAGGAAGCACAGAGGGTGCCAAACAAGAGGAACCCAAAGAGGCCCACAGCAAGACACACAATTAAAATGCCAAGGTTAAAGACAAAGAGAGAATCCTAAAAGTAGCAAAAGAAAAGCAATTAATTACCCACAAGGGAGCACCCATATGACTTTTAGCTAATTTCTCAACAGAAACATTGCAGGCCAGAAGGGAGTGGCAAGAAGTAGTCAAAGTGATGAAAAGTAAGGACCTACAACCAAAATTTCTCTTTCTACTAAAGTGATCATTTAGAAACAAAGGACAGCCTGGCCAGTGTGGCTCGATGGTCATGGGTTCAATTCCCACTCAAGGGCACATATCTGGGTTGCAGGTTTGATCCCTGGCCCTGGTCAGGTGCATGCAGGAGGCAACCAATCAATGTGTCTCTCTCACATCAATGTCTCTCTCCCCCCTCACCTCTCCCCATCCCTTCCACTCTCTCTCAAAAAATCAATGGAAAAAATATCCGCTGGTGAAGATTAACAACAACAACAACAAAAGCCTTTTAGAATCAAAGGACAGCCAAAGAGCTTCCCAAACAAGAAAAAGGTGAAAGAGTTCATCATCAGCAAACCAGTATTACAAGAAATGTGAAACGGGACCTTTAAAAATCACTGCCTGTAAGTACCCCGCGTACAGCATCTTCGTGTTTGACGCATCTTTCCGGCTAACATATCTATGCTCTCCTTCTGTGTTGATTCACCCACCTCTAGGTTGTGTTCATGCTCTGGTTGTTTATCATTCTGATTCTCTCTGATCCGCATTCTCTCATCTTGAGCATTTCTGTCTTATTGAAACCAAGATCTCACTTCTAAGATTAGCTTTCTTCTCTACTCTCCTAATGAAATTGCTCTGTACTTTTTGTATGTTAACTGCTTGCCTTGTCTCTCTGTAAAAAATATCCCCCTCTTTAAAAATTACCAATAACATTGGCTTCATTCAAATCTTTGCTTCTAAGCTCTTAGAAACATACAAGTATTACACTCAAACTTTTCATTTTCTATTAGATTCTACTTTCTTAATACCCCCTTGCTACATCTTTACTCTGTGTTTACTCTAGTTCCTGGCTGCTTAAATTGTCCCCTATGACAGTCTGTCCCTTCTCGTCCAAGTTTTCCACTTAATAATTCAGATTACTGAGAAATTTACCAAAATTTTACTTCCTTTTTCTTATATTTTCTAATTTATGTATTCACTGTATGACTGACAGAGCTGCAATTAAGTATAATCACTAATCCTGTCAACTAAAAAGTTCAGAGCACACACACAAATGTAGAATAAAAGAAAACACTAAATAAATGCTGATTCTGTTTATCAACTTTAAGTATTATACTCTAATGACCCTATTCAAACTGAACTCTATGCATAACCGGAAGCAACCATCACGGTCTATAGAGACACAAAGTGATATCAGGAGGGGGAAAAGGCAGGAGGTACAGGTATAATCCATGCACACATATTGAATCACACATTGCCCAAGAGCTTTCCCTCATCAAAGTGGACAACTCTTCTTTAAAGAGCACACAAGTGGGTTTGCTTCCAAGTGAATGATTTAGTAGGGACTTTATACAGCTAAAAATCAAAGTTTAAAACCCAGGTTTGGGTTTTCAAAGTAAGTCTTAGGCTATAAAACTGAACTACACCATAATGAATGAAGAGGAAAACACACACTGAGTGCTGGGTTTTAGATGGACCAAACTAATAGAATCCACTTGAATGGGTAAAACAGGCAAAGGAAGGCCCTGTATCAAACCAAGTTGATGGGAAGAGGTACCCAGAGGAAATGAGAGTGGGGGAAGCAAACAGTAAAAAGAATGTAGTAATAAAACCAGAAGGTGCCTTTTTGAACCAATGACGACAGGTGCCAAGATCTGAGAAATCGAATTAACTCAACTCTGCGCTTCGGGGCATAACAAACCCAAACAAAGAGAACTCCAGGGAAGCAACATATTGTCTTCCCCTAAATCCCAGAGAAAACAACACACCATCGAAATACTGATGTATAGTCACAAAGTGACACAATCATCAGTCTTTAGGATAAAACAAAACAGAAAGAACTTACATGCAGACTAAATAAAAACTTGAAGTTGGAAAAAGTTATAGTGGCACGATAGAAAAAATACCTGTGTAAGTCATCTTTCTACCACACTGACTTATTACTGCAGATATTCACGGAGAGATTAAACAGTCAAATCAATGATGACCCAGAGGCATCCTTTGACTCAGTGGCGTTTGGCCTCGACTGCTTCTTAGGTCTCTTTTCTCCAAAAAAGGAAATTATATGATTTTAAACAGACAACAATCTAGAATAAAAAGAAATATTGTACCCTCTCTAGCCAAAGTTTAATTTTCTATTTGTCTTTTGCACTAGCTATTCTACATGGAGGTGAATACTTTAAATCTTAGAAATGACTATCAGTTCACACTGACGGGCTACAGGAAATCAGAGTATGCTTCTTACAAATGAAGGGTAAGACTCAATACTCAAATGTCATTTTATTCTCATTACAGAAAATACTGTGTTGTCCTTAGCAGTGACGGGATATATAAGAATCAGAAATTAAAAAGGGAAAGTGTAAGATTCACAGACAGAGATTACCTTGAACCAACGCAAACTGTATTAGCTGGGAGAGAATATTTATAAGACTAATTCTTCCAAGCAATTTCGGCACTGAACTGAGCTTGGTACATCAAGTGTCAAATACCTGTTCTCCTCAGGATCACAGGTTTGTTCACCAACACAGATGGCATACATTTGCTTACAACAGACAAGCTATCAAATGCACTTAAGCTAAGCATAGGAGGTTAAGACCCCATTTTATGGAAAATAATGCTTTCTTTTAAAGTAGAAACAGTATGCTTTTAGTCAAACAAACTAATATTTAGTCGTTTACTAAGCCATCTTGATTATTCCAGGCACATTGGGAGAGACAAGTCTGAAATGAGCAAAGCCCAAAATGTTCTCCCACTACATGCCTGATTTTCTTTTCTCCCCTTACCTGGTAATGAGCCTGGGCTTGCTGCGCTGAGTTCAATGTAACATTGCAGAGTTTGCAGTAAAGGGGCTTACATAGCTCCTCCAGGGTAGAGTCTTGCTCCCCTCCCTTAGGTAACTCTTCTTCCCCTGCCAAAGGTAAGGAAGCCTCCTGCCCAAAAGGCCTCTGCGGCGGATGCTGCAAGGTTCCTGTAGACCTGGCAGCCACTGACATAGGAGGAGAGGATGGGGGCCGCCTAGGCAGAGGAAGCCCAGCGTGTTGCAAGAGGATCATTGGGTAGAAGAGCCTTGGGCATAATCCAATGTGCGAGAAGTCAGGTCTTCAAATCTGAATCAAAAGCAAAAACATACTCACTTAAAAATGTGACCTCAGCAATATGACATGTAAATGACCATAACACCTGACCCCTTCTTCCACTTCTCCAACCCTTCTCTGGGACTTCTGCCTCATCTAACAGACTTCCCTTCTGTTAATCCACATCGACACATGCTCTTCCAATGAAAACAGATTTATAGATTTGGCTTTGTTTTGCTTGGCACAGCTCCAGCTGTGGTCCCTCTGGCCCTTGAACATTAATAGCACTGCATCTAGGACTAATTAAATGTAAAACTCACATGGCTGAAATGGACATCAAAGGTCACCTAGTCCAGACCCCTTCCCTCAGAAACACTTACACTTAAACACTCTTGATAATCATGCATAGACAAAATTCCACCAGCTAAGAACCTGAGCAAATGTCTATTTTCCATCCAAACTATATATAAAAAGAATGAAATAAAGAGCGTCACTTTTCAGAATCCTTAAAGCACTTCTAGAACTACCTAAAATATCAAGGAACTCTAGGAATAGCTCAGAGTTACCATGTGACAAAAATAAATACAAGTGTACCTTCTGGAAAAAAATAAAGTGAATCTTCTGATCAACTGCAAATACTTAAAGAGTTAAGCCAATGATTCCTCACAGCAGAGGTTGCACACAGCCTGTATAGGGCATGAAGCCACAGATACACTGTTTGGAATATACAAGGTTTGGTCTTGTTTTCATTGTTTAAATTGAATTAGTCATCAACATTTTAAAAAACCAAGAGATTCATGGCTTCTGTTTTTGTTTGTTTTTTTGGAAGAGAGGAGAAACATTGCACTCAACTGGTTGCCTCCCATACACACTCTGACTGGGGATCTAACCGGCAACCTGGGTGTGTGCCCTGACAGGGAATTGAAACCACCCCTCTTTGGTTTGCATGAGATGATGCTCCAACCAACTGAACCACACTGGCGAGAACAGTGGCTTCTTTTGACAAAAGTACGATTTGGCAACACTTGGCACATAGTCCTACATGGGGAACAACAGCTACCTAGTTAGTTACCTCAAAGTGCAGTGTCCCCAGCAGCCAAACCTACGTTCTCCAGGCCACCTCAGTCCCCACTCAGCCTGCTCCCTGTAGGCCCTTAAGTTTAGGACCTCACCCTATATAGCCTTAGACTACATTCATGAGTCCCCAATAAAATGAGAATATTTTCTCTCCCTCTCTAGGTAAATCACCTGCACAAAATAATGTATCAAGTAAATGTGCAATGAGGTAATGGATCACACTCCAATATAGTTCCAGTTCCTCAGTCTTTCAGCTATTTCTTCTCCCCTTCTTATTAAATAACTGGTACTCTCTATTCTGTTTCCCTCAGAGAAGGCGCAATCTGTTCCAATCCCGCTTTAATTTTATCCATGGTTTCTCTTGTCTCCCACCCAGATGGCATCTTCTAACCCTGCCTGAGTATCTCAAAATAAACTACAGTATACCCTTTGCGTTCCCATGATTCTAACCCCGATTAAAATCTTTCTTTCAGCCTGGTCAGGCGTGGCTCAGCAGTTGAACGTCCATTGGGGTTCGCCTGGGTTGCGGGCTCAACCTTCAGTTGGGGGCCTGCAGGAGGCAGCCGATCAATGACTCTCTCATCATTGATGTTTCTCTCTCTCTCTCTCTCCCTCTCCTTTCCTCTCTCTGAAATCAACAAAGATATATTTTTTTTAAAAATCTTTCTTTCAAAATCAACTATTCCTTCCACTCTCTCAATATTGTCAAAACCTCTTTCCCTGGTCAATAGAAGATGGCTATTTTACGCTGCTGAAATTTGCCAGCTGCAATAGAAATGTGTACATTTTATGACAACAATAGACTCATTAAAAGTAACTAAGTAAATTTTGAAAAGTTAAAAGTCTCTTTTAGCACATTTAATAAGTATACACATGTGGAAATTACAATCGAGTAACAACCTTTATACTAAAGTCAGGGTCTTGGGGCAGCAGAGCCTATCAGTGCAATGGGGAAATAATGTACTTAAGAGCAAAGTACAGAAATCACTCATCACAGTATTTAACAACACTTCTCATTAACCATAACATTTAGAAAGATAATATTATTATTTTACTCTTAAGCAGAAATATGCTTATGTTCCCAGAAATATCTCTGGGAGCACAGAGGAAAGTAATAGATTTAGAACACTTAAAAAGTCAGGTTTCTCTATAACCACATTATTCCTCTCAGTTGAATCAAGCAAAGACATTCAGGAAGCAAAGACACATATGTGGGTATTTTTTAAAGGAAAACTAAGGAGACAAAGACTTCTTTTTCAGAAAGGTTAAGTACCTAATTATAATTCAGTATAGTGCAAGGCCACACAGACTACCTGCACAGAGACACGTTAATACCAAACTGCCATGAACAAGCTGGCAGCTGAGAAGAGACGCGGCGAGGGAGGATGCCAAAACATCTGGGGAAAGGAAATCAGCAGATAAACACAAAGCAAAAGCTACAATCGTGCGGGCATGCCTGGGCTTGTCTGACGGGAGCTCGCGGCACCTGGGGAAGCTCCCCGCACCTGGGGAAGCTCTCCGCACCTGGGGGAGCTCCCCGCACCTGGGGAAGCTCTCCGCACCTGGGGGAGCTCTCCGCACCTGGGGAAGCTCTCCGCACCTGGGGAAGCTCTGCACGGGTCCCCTCGGGCTGCCCACGGGTTTCCACCAGGGGTCCTTCTCGAAGCAGAGGTGCGAGAGGGCCTCTTCCAGAGACGATGAAACCTCCCAGGGAAAGGAAAAACGCTCACCAAGTAAAGACTGACCCATAATCGCACTTCATCTTTATAGTTTTTAAAGAACAGCTAGATATTCCAAAATTATTTCCTGTAGTAGTCAACAATCAAAATGACAATGTCCACCCACAAACAGAATGCATGGCAACTGCATCGAGCATCTACTACATTTGCAGATGAGAATTAGCATAAAATATAAATCTGAAAGAAATAAAACCAGGCCTTGGGGGAAGCGTGAAGGGTGGAACAGAGAAGCAAAAGCACGCGTGATCGGACCCGTCCAACCACCGCACCGGGTCAAAGGAAACCAGCTCGACGGCTGAGGTAAACAGAACATTCCTCAGATCGTAAAAGCCATTCAGTCTGCGGCTTCAAGCGGCGTGAACGACAGACGGCCGGTCCCTGACGGCCGGGTGCGGAAGGGGCTGAGGGGACACAGGGACCGCGAAAGCTCCGCGGTGTGCCCCGTTCAAAGAAAGGGAGGGCTCCCCAGTAGTGACGGCTGGGCCGGGCCTACTCCGCACACCGATTCGCTTTCTTATTTGCAGAAAGCCACGGAGGGAAGACTACGGCATGAGGGAACAGGTTACTGGCACCTCCGCGGACTGGCAGAGTCTGGAAATGACGGAAAGGCGGCGAGCGTTCTCCAGAGGTCACCAGAACGCGGCCCGGGCTGGCAGGAAGGGAGACAAGTAATCGGCTGAGGCGACGGACATCACGCGAGGGAGACGGGAAGGAGCGCAGGGGTCTGCGGGAGAAGGGGCCTCGGCGAGCGGGCGACGCCTTCCAGGCTCGGCGGTGACGGTGCCTAATCCCAGGGCACCATTTGCACATTTGAATCAAAGCAACACGAACCTCAGCCTCGCCCGCACATCCCTTACGTCCCTGAAATGTGCGGGCGCGCACCTCAACCCGAGGATGCCGTCACGCAGCGTGGAAGCCCCGTCTCCCGCGAGGCGGGGGCGGCGCGGCGGCTGCCCGCCCGGAGGACCCGGGGAGAGCACGTGAGGGGCTGAGCGACAAACAGATAAATAAAGGCAGCGCGAGCCGGT